TAGTGAAGTAATCTGGAAACAGAAGACATTTCATTACACCTTGAAAACCAAGAAGTCAGCTCTGCAAAGAAGAGAGGTGGGAGGGAGAGAGCAGTACTGTTCAAGTTCTGCTGGAAACAAGAGATGGCCACATAAAGATCTACAGACCCAAGATGGAATAAGGGAGGAATGATCCTCCCTTATTCCTTATTCCTCCTCCCTGTTCCACCCCAATGATGGAATAAACATGGAATGATCCCCCCTAGGAGAACCTGGTATCACAGAGCAAAGGCACAGAACAGACTCCAAGGCCTAAAGGCCAGAGCAGACACCCAGAGACTGTGAGAAGCACCCAGGGGGAGCTCACAGCTATTTGTACCATGTTCTAGATGCCTGTTGCACCTGTGACAGAGCCCTTGCAGGAGCCAAGCAAGCAGAATGAGGTTGCTCTGGAGGCCTCCTCACCTTCTCCCCATTCTCGATCAGCATGCGGTCCCAGGCATTGACTTGTGTGGCCTGATGCAGGAAGTGCTTCTCTTGGTCCTCCAGCTCCAGGCTCCACTTGTTGATCAAACTCTCCAGCTGGGCATAAGTCATCACTGGGGGGGCACTGAGAGGAGTCAGGGCAGCACAGGACACGAGGTCAGCACAGACAAACACCACAACTCTCACTGATCTCCCCTTCCTCCTGCAGAGCCCAGCCTGAGCCCTGCAGCTGCTCCTGGCCAGGCAGCAAAGGGTCAATGGCAGCAAACTCCCACCTGGCTGTGGTGGTTGTGGTTGTGGCAGCTGTGGAGGTCACAGCTCCAATGGCACCAGTGGTAGTCAATGGCTTCAGGTTCAAGGGAAAGCCAGAAGCAGAGGTTGTCCCTGCAGGAAGAGACTCAAGTCAGGCAGCAGAAGGGGACACAGCTGGCACCTCTCAAACACAGAGCAGCTCCAGGGTGCCCATGGCTGGAGGAGCTGCAGCAGATCCCTCTGAAGGGAACAACAGCAAATCCCACATCTGTCAAGGAGGGAATGAAAACATCCCCAGCCCAGCCCCTTGTCAATAGCCCCTTGTTTTACTGCTAGAACCAAGAACTGCCAGCACACCCAGCTCCTCCCCTGCACCTCAGCAGTGGATGAGGGAACATCTGTGTTTTCACAAAGAGATGGAAAAGGATCAGAGAAAGACAGACTGTGCTGTTTTCAGTCACTTGAGGGCTTTACAAATCACAGCTGCTCTGCTCCTACTCTAACATGGCCCTTTACACCTGTACATAGCAGTGAATTCAGTCTCCCTTCTCTTCAGTGCCTTCCAGCATGCTGTTCCTACCAGTGGCAGTGCTTGTGGTGGCAGCTGTGGTTCCAGGAACCTTTAATCCAAAGCCAAGTGTTCCCAGACTGGCTGTCCCAGTGGAAGCAGTGGAGGTGGCACCCACTGTGAAGAGAAGACACCATTAGCAGGCTGCATGAGCCAGGGAATGCAGGGCCCTTGGAGAAGCTGTGCCCAGCCTGCTCCACTCCCCCTGCAGCAGCAGCAGCCCCAGGGCAGCAGCAGCAGCAGCCCCAGGGCAGCAGCAGCAGCAGCAGCAGCCCCAGGGGAGCAGCAGCAGCAGCAGCCCCAGGGCAGCAGCAGCAGCAGCCCCAGGGCAGCAGCAGCAGCAGCCCCAGGGCAGCAGCAGCAGCAGCAGCCTGGCTGCCCCTTCATTGCCCCAGGGACAAAGCTGCCTGCAGAGACTCACGTGAGAGGCCCGTGGTGCTGGAGGAGGCTGGGGCTGAAGAAGTTGCCACAGATGCAAACAAGGAGGGCCCCGTGGAGCCCAGCACTGAGGTGGTGCTGGTGGTGGAGGCCGTGCTGGCAGCTGTGGATGTGACTGCAGGGACAAACAGCTCCAGCTGTACAAGCAGAGCACACTGAGCTCCCACCCCCTGCACAACAACCCTGCTGGGAGGGTGACACCAACTGCCCAGCCACACCTCGTTCTTGGCCATGTCAGCATTTTAACTTCCTTTCCCTCTTATTCTCCCTCCACTCCCTGTCTTTCACAATCTGCCCATTTAAGATTGTGCCTCCCTTCCCCTGTGCTCCCCAAACAAGCACAGAACAGAATCTGGCATTTGGGACACAATCAGAAGCACAGGACACACTGTGCAATGGCTCTGGGAGCTGTCACAGATCCCCACTGCCAGGGCAAACCCACAGGAACAAACACTTGTGGCCCCTCCCCACACCCCAGTATAAGAGATTTGTCTGCTTCCAACAGGCAACTATAGCCAGGAGGAGAGAAGAGTCCCCAAAGCCTTGAGGAATTGTTTACTAGAACAGCTTCCTACCTCCCAGCTTGGCTCCAAAGCTCAGGGTGGGGGCCTGGCTGGTGCTTGTGGTCAGTGTTGCTGTGCTTGTACTGGTGGCTGCTGTTGAAGGCTGAGCCCCAAAGGTCAGACCTGGAAGCAGGAGCAAAAGGAAAACATGGAATTCCTTCCTCCAGGCTAAAGAGCAACTGCTCCCCAGCACTGCAGCCCCTGGACAGGCCTGTCAGAAACACCTCTGGCCCCAGCCCCTTGCTGCTCTCTGCCCCAGCACAAGCCAGAGGCTGCAGAGCCAAACCCCCACGGCACCCTCAGACACCCCCATGGCAAAGGCTCCCAGGCTGCAGCTGCCCCCGAGGCTGTGTCACAGCACAGGGCACAGCTGAGACAGCCAGGACACACACAGAACCATCACACAAACACAGAAAGCTTCAACCCACACAGAGAAACACCAAACCACCTCAGAAGGCTGCAAGCATCTGCCCTTCTTATTCTTTAGCCCAACCCTTTACCCCCCTCATGTTGATGCACTGCCCCTGTGTGCCCTGTGCTCCCTTTGGTGGTTGCTCAGCACACCTGGGCACTCCATGGCTCATTGCTGCCAGTGCTGCTCACCTGCTGCTCACAGCTGTGCCCACTGGGGATGAGGCTGGGCCAGCCCATCCCAGTGACCCCAAACTGTGCCTGCAGCACAGCCCCATCCCAGTGACCCCAAACTGTGTGCACACAGCACAGCCCCATCCCAGTGACCCCAAACTGTGCCTGCAGCACAGCCCCATCCCAGGGACCCCAAACTGTGCCTACAGCACAGCCCCATCCCAGGGACCCCAAACTGTGTGCACACAGCACAGCCCCATCCCAGTGACCCCAAACTGTGCCTGCAGCACAGCCCCATCCCAGTGACCCCAAACTGGGTGCCCCTGTCCCAGTGTGTCACTCCACGAGCCCCAGGCTGCTCACCCACCTGTGGGCTGCCCCCCGAGGCTGAAGGGCGCTGCTGTTGGGGTGGCAGCTGCCAGGGTGGCCGTGCTGGTGCTGGCAGCAGCCGCAGGGGCCGTGCCAAAGCTCAGCCCTGCCGACGTGGCCGGCGCGGCCGCGGTGCCGATGCTGAACCCGGCCGTGCCCGCCTGGCTCGTGGTGCCACTGGAGAAGGTGAAGCCTCCTGGTGTCCCAGAGGGAGCTGTGCTGCTGCTGCTGCTGCTGGCAGCAGAGCCAAAGGCAAAGCCAGACGGGGCTGCTGCCTGACTCGAGGGGGTGCTGGTTGCCGCAGGGGCACCAAAGGAAAAGCCCCCCGGGACTGCAGGAGCTGGAGTGGCAGTGCTGGCTCCAAAGGTCACTTTTGGGGTGTTTGCCCTAGGCAAGAAAAGAAAAGAAAGGAAGCCATTCTGCTTGAGACACACATCCACCCACGTGCACAGCTGGCTTTCTCCCTGACCATTTGCTGACAGCAGAAACCGCCTTTCAAAGAGATGCACAGCTGGCCAGGCTGTGTCTCAGTTCTGATAAGAGCCTCCATCCAGCTGCTGTCACCTGCCATCCCCCCTCAGGGCTCATTCCACTGCCTGTCCCTTCGTTACCTCCACCCACCCAAGTACCACTGGGCATTTGATGGCAGCGCACGTGGAGCTGCTCCTTCTCTCAGCTCACCATTTCCATTTCCCTTTACACAAGGCTGGTTTTTTCCTGCTCGTCCCCATTTGAGCTCCCTTCCCACAGCTCCCATCTGGCAAGCTTTGCCAGCAGCAGCTCTGCAGAACCGCTCCAGCACTCGCCGCCTTTCCTGATCGGCAAATCCCTCCCAAAGTGCCGGGAAAACATTCCGAGCACTCCGGATCCGGGTCAGAGAGAACAAGACGTTTGATATTGGGCAGCAGAGCCTCAGCATTTCTGCGTGCTCGCGTCTCCAGCCCGGTTCCAGCCGGGATCGCGGAACATCTCCTTCCCCACGCTGCGGGGGCTCCCGTGCGAACGGACCGGGACCGGGGCCGGGGCTCGCCGAGCCCTGCGGGGCGCTGGGAAGAGCCGGCACAAGGGCCAGGGCTCGCTCCGAGCAGCTTTCCCCGCAGAGGAAAGGACCCAGCACCCACAGGACCCCGCTCCCTCCGTCCCTGTGTCCGTCCCTCTGTCCCTGCGTCCGTCCCCGCCCGGCCCCGGGTCTCACCCCAGCGGGAAGGCGGCGGCTGCCGGGGCGGCGGGGGCCGCGCTGGCCGAGCCGAAGCTGAAGCCGGAGGGCTGCGCGGCCGTGCCCGGCCTGCTGAAGGAGAAGAGCCCGGCGGGCTGGCTGCCGCCCGCCGCCGGCGCCGCGCTGCCGAAGCTGAAGCCGGTGGAGGCGGAGGCGGGCGCCGGCGCGGAGAAGGAGAAGCCGCTGCTGGCCGTGGTGGCGGCGGCGGCTCGGGGCGCGCCCAGGCCGAAGGCGCCGCCGGGCGCGGGCGCCCCGAAGCTGAACTGGCTCATGGCCTGGCGGCGACAGCGGCGCGGGCCGAGCTCCGGCAGCGCCCCCGGCACGGGGCCCGCGCGCGGCGATGGCGTCACCGCGCCCGGCCCGGCCCGCCCCCGCACCGTCCCGCTCTACGCGGCCATTGGTCAGTGAGACCGCCACTCTCGGAATGGCGGCTCTGATTGGCTCTCGGGGCGTGAGGGGCGGGGCGTGTCGGCGTTGCTGTGGGGATGAGGGACGCGGCTGCGGGAGCGGAGCGAGGGACAGGGAGAGACCGGAGCGTAGTGAGGGACAGGGCACACCGGGACCCGAGGGAGAAGCGGGAGCTCCCTCAGGGGATGTTTAGGTTGGTATCTGCAATGGTTCTTCCCCCAGAGGTGGTCGGGCATGGAAACAGGGTCCCAGGGAGTGGTCATAGCCCCTGGGCTGTAAAGAGCATTTGGACAGTGCTCTCAGGTATTGTAGCGTTATTAATTTTTGCCCCCGAAGATGGGAGAGAATGATGCATCTGACTCCATCTTATCAGATGGCCAATTAATTACTTTATTATACAATATTTTTCTATATTATATTACACTATGTTACATTACGTCTAAACTGAATCTGCCAAGCACTCAGCTCTGCACACACTGCACAGAATCTCGTGACTGTCACCCAATAGTCCTGACACAAACACACACCTGACCCTGACAGGCCAAGGAAACAAAACACCATCACTTTGGGTAAAAAATCTCCATATTGCATTCTACTTTGGCACAACACAGGCACAGCCATTGAGATAAAAATTGTTTTTCCTTTCTCTGAGGTTCAGAGAATGAGACCCAGAAATATTTTTGGGAAGAACTGTGTCTTGCTTTTCTCTGTGAAGAGAAATGTGGCAACACCCAGGCACATGCTGGGGCTCAGGCTGTCCTGCACAGGGCCAGGAGCTGGACTCACCCATCCTGATGGGTCCCACTCAGCATATTCTTTGATTTTATGTTCCATTTTACATGCTTTGTCATCACACACACAGGAACTTGGCTAAACTTTTCCTTCCCAAACGCACAGCAGGACAATTGTGCTCTACAGGCTGTTCCAAGCACATTTAGCTCCTGCTTCATCTGCCACTTGTTTTCCCTGCCCAGGTGAGCAGTGGCTATGGATTTGGACAGCATGTTCTCGGGCTCTTCTCTGCAGAGCCTCGCCAAACTGCTGCGTGATGCTCCAGAGGAGGATGATGATGGTGATGATGATGATGTGGTGAGTTTTCATGGGAGTTGCTGCTTCTTTTACATATTGTACCATAGCCTTGTGTTGTTAATCAAGGAGTAGCAAATCTCTTTTTCTCCAGAGTGAGTAAAAGCAGAATGAAAACTGTGGTGCTGCTCACAGGGGTCCCAGGACGAGGGAAGAGATGAGAATCTTGACTCCATGGTTCAGAAGGCTGATTTATTATTTTATGATATATATTATATTAAGACTATACTAAAAGAATAGAAGGAAGGATTTCATCAGAAGGCTGGCAAGGAATAGAAAGGAATGGAATGATAATAAAATCTTGTGACTGACCAGAGAGTCCGAGACAGCCGGACTGGGATTGGCCATTAATTAGAAACAACCACATGAGACCAATCCCAGATGCACCTGTTGCATTCCACCGCAGCAGATAACCATTGGTTACATTTTGTTCCTGAGGCCTCTCAGCTTCTCAGGAGAAAAAATCCTAAGGAAAGGATTTTTCATAAAATATGTCTGTGACAGAAAACCTTAGAAGGTTTTGGTCTGACTGAAACAGCTTGAGGACCCTTTCAGAGTAACAAGCTCTTGAGAATGAGCAAGATGCCCCAGGAAAACAAGGAGACACTGTGAGCACAACATATGAGGGAGGTTTAGTTTTTCAGCCTGAAGGAAAAGAGAACATGGACTTGAAAGAGCTTCAGATACTTCAGGCTTCCCCTACTTTCCCCTGAACTCTGCTGGAGATGAAGGCAATTGTAACCAGATATGAGGGGGAAAATTTGCTGCTCAGCTTCCGAGTTAGGACCAAAATTTCCAGAGGCAACTGAGTGTTTTAATTGCATATGTCAGACATTGAAGAACTGCAGAGATAACTGATCACTAAATTACAACAGGTATTTGGTGGTTGTAAAACAGGGGAAGGGGAAAAATCATCCTAAGGTGCATAATCTGAATGAATAATGAGAGAAATATCTGAATGTGTTCTTTTGTATCAATTCCTCTCAGGAGCAGATGAAAATGACAGTCTTTGGAGAACATGCATTATTCCTGCAACATGCAACACCTGATTTTATCCAGGCCTGCCTGTGTGCTGGGAAGAAATATTCCCAGGAGCCCCAAAGGTCCCAACAATGTAGAAGGCCTCTGTGAAGGCTCAAAACTTTGCCAAGTCCCTCAGAATTTTGAACAGATCATATTATGACATGAATAACAGAAAAAACAAACAAACAAACAAAAAACCCAAAACAAAACAAAAAAACAAAGAAAAACAAAACAAAAAAAACAACCCAAAACCCCAAAAAAACAAACAAAAAACCCAAACAAACAAACAAACAAAGGTAACAAAAAAAAAAACCAAAACCAGATAACAAAAATGGCAAATGCCTGAGTGTTCCTCCAAATCATTCCTCAACAAAGAGCTGACCAGCCCCAGTAGTGTGATATTTGGGATAGAAGGGGTGCAAGACCCTTGAAGTTTTATTTCAGAGGGTTACAGATGTGGTCCTTCACACCCCAACTATCCTCCAGCTCTTTAATGCCTGCCTTTTAAACCCTGCATTAGTGCTGTACATCTCTGCAGTAAACATCCTGATTTTAAAAGGAATTTGTTTACATCTTATTAATAAAATGAATGACACTTCAGAGACAGAAATGGAAAGTTGCCACAAGAGATGTCAATTAAGTCTGAGTCAATCTGGGTAAATTGAAATCTTTATTTTGATTTAATTTAATGCTCTGTGCATATGAGGCACTTTTATTGAACCAAGGAATCTTCATATATAGAGAAATGCCTCACATTGGCCTATTAGCACTAAATTGATTCATAATTAGAAGAAAATGTTCTTGCCTCATGATCTCTACAGTAAAAAGCAATCCAAATGCTGTAATGGGGCTTTCATGTAGCACCCTTGGTTTCCTGTAATATTTTCATGGCAGGCAAAGCATGGAAATTCTGCCAAAATGCCATGGAAACCAAAACTCACAAAGCACATCTGTCTGTATGGCTGGGCTTCTGTGAGTCCTGCTTAAACCCAGTGTGTCAAGGTCACTTTCTGCTGTGTCAGAGTGAAGAAAAGAGATTTTTCAGTGGTTCACTCATGAAACTGTGGGATAATGTGTTTTCAATTCTACCAGGGATTTGTTTGACCTTAGATGATGTGTTGTATTTACTGACATCATGGTTGTAACCAAGCTTGGCTCTATAAAAATTGATTTAAGATGCTCTTGCCTTTCTTTGCAGCCACGCTGTTCTCTTGGTGCCATGACTCCTGGGAGTGTTGGACCAGTCAAGAAGGAGACCACCAGTAAGGAGGAGTATTTGTGTGTTTTGGCATTCAGTCTCATTTACAGTTCAGCTTTTTTAAAATTTTAATTTAAAATTTAAATTTTAAATTCTGCTGAATTTACAATTCAGTTACAGCAAACTGTAACAGCTATAAAAGAGGGGTCACTGATGTTTGAGATGGGCATAGCATGACATTCCTTACAATTACACTGTAAAATCATTCCTTTCCTGAAAGCTTAACTCTAAAACGTGCAAAGAGGAGCAGAAAGGGTAATGCCAGAGCAGCTTCCAGTGGAGGTGATAATAGTTCAGAGCACAGCCTGGTCAGGGGCTGCAGGGATCATAACTGAGCAGCAAAAGCTCCATGTAAGAACTCAGGAAAGACAGGAAGGCAGTTTTGGCAGAGACTTGGCAAAGTTAGTGTTAAGTTTTTTTGGAGCTGAGGCTGTCACATTATTGAGCCCTAAGAAAGGCCCACAAGGGCCAGGGTGAGTTTTGCAAGAAAGGAACTGTGGTAAATATAATAGATTATTTTTGCTTTTATTGCTATCCAACAATAACCAGAGATTCTACTCTAAAATCCTCAAGTTTCACATTTACCAGCTTACTAAAAGAATGTTTTTCCATGCAGGACAGGCATAAACCATACTATTCTGCCCAAAAACTTTAATGTGTCTTCAGCACCTTGTCTGGGCTGTGCCAAATAATTAATGGAAAGAGCTGGATTTCTGTGTGAGGAGGTGATCCTCTTGTGAATGACTCTGCTCACTGAAAATCTCATGTCAGGGGGTTTGTGGAAGATTAGTATTTCATCCCTCTACGCTTTACTGATTTTGAAGTGCTAGATATTATATGCCAGAAAGGAGGATTTCCAGGAAATAAAGGTTGGGTAAAGAAGATTTAAGTGAAAGGAAAACATCCTCCCTCTGCAAATCCTCATTCATAAGAGAGTAAGGTGAAGAAGACTGTAATCATTACCTAGAATGCTTTTAATGCAAAGATTTTTCTAAAGCCTAGAAATACTTTTCCAGGCTTTAGAAAAGGCTTTTCTTTCTTTTTTTTTTTTTTCATTCTTGAAAAATATTCTAAGCTTTCAGCAACACTTGAGGAACAGAGACATTTCAAAATGTGTCAGTGAGATTTTTCTCCTCACTTACAGGTACTTCTCAAGTGAAATCTGAAAACAAGAAAACCATTTGGAATACAGAGGAGGTCCCAGAAGGATCTGAATTTGATGATACATGGGACCCTAGAGAAAAGCCAGAGTAAGAAAGCTGAGACTGCCTGTGTGGGCTTCACATAGCATTAATGGAAATGAGAGTTAAACAGCATCTGCAGCCAGCTGGAAAGATTGTGTTGTGCAAGAAGAAAGGAAAGATATCAGTGTTGCATCTAAAGCAATATGTGAAGAATGGTTTTAACCCCTCTCTTGAAATCTTCTGATCTCAGAACAGAAACTTAGTGTTGGTTTTCCAGCATAAGTTTATGTGCAGTGTCAGTTACTTGTATAAAGTGGGATTAGGAGGGGAAGTAGGTCAGAAAAATGATTTATTAACTTTAAAATATGCCATTTGTGTGAAATACCTGCTTTTTCCTGCTGCAACTGAGATGCATCCATTTTTCCATACTCATAAATTCATAAAGTACTCCAATGTATATTTGCATTTCAAAGATTTAAGCTCTTTAGAGACAAATAGTACTGCAGAAGAAAAGCTGTGTGCAGGCAATTTTGAGCTCTTAAATCTTGTCATTCAATCTTAGCCTGTCAAAGCACAACTTGAAACCAGAGCCTTTTCCCTTGCTCATAGAAAAACAGTAGCAAAAAATATTCTTGAAATCAGGCATGTGATTTGGAGTTTGTGGAGGTCAGAAAGCCCTGAAGGTCAGTCCATAAGGCAGCTTTTGCATTTCCAGTCATTGTTTCAATGCCACGTCCTGAAGTGTTAAAGGCTGTAGCCCACGAAGCTGCACATTGTGCACCAGAATCTTCACTTTTTCTTGCATGTAAGTCAGGACATGAGGAGTCCAATTTCCCAGCTAAACACAGGACCTGAGACCCACCTTTCTGAAAATGGGGTTTTCAATTTCCCAGTTAAACACAGGACCTGAGACCCACCTTTCTGAAAATGGGGTTTTCAATTTCCCAGCTAAACACAGGACCTGAGGCCCACCTGAGCAGCGACTCAGCCTTTCTGAAGATAATTTGGAATTCACCCTCACGCACAGTTGTCCCTGAAATGGTCACCTGTCAGGTACAGAACGTGCTGTCTGTATTGTAGGCACAGAGGAGATTTTCTTGTGCTGTTCTTTGACCATTCCCCTCTGCAGTGCTTCTCCAGCCTCAAGCACTTCTGACCCTTGTTGCACAAATGAAGAGAGGGAATATAACTCTTTGCAATAGTTCATCAAATGAAGCAAAGAAAATGTGCTAAAAGGAAAACAGATGGCTACAGAGGTGCATCCAGAGCTATTAGACACATTTGTCACTGACTTAGGAATTATTACATATGCAGATGCACACTGGAGATGTGAAAGATTTTCTAACAGCTTAGACAAGTGATCCACCCCAGTAATTTTGCTGAACTTAGTAGGAGTAGCATATGTTATAAATACAAATTCAGTTTTCCTTTCCTCATTCATTAATTACCAAGAGCAAGGGAATACGTGATTCCACATTTTGTAGAAGTGAAGGAGAAGAAAATAAAAGTTAGCTGAATGCAAAACTATGGTCTGGCTTAAGAGTGTTATGCTCAGGCTGCAAGAATATGCTAAAGGACAGAACAGAACACAGGTAATTGTGGCATCCCCCTTTTCAAATCCATTCCCAGGAGTTTGTGGTGTTTGACTTGCTGGTAGGCATTAAGAAGCATTTCCTGGTCCTGCCAAGGCTGGTTAGGGGAGCAGAGGCAGCATGGTGAGAGCTTTGGGAGGTGGAGGAAAGGATTTTAACCTGTCTTCCAGCTCTCCCAGTCATGGCTCTGAACAGAAACCCAGTGCAGATGGATTGGAGCCTTGAAGGGAGACTGCAAAGGAGGAGAGGCAGTGTGAGGAGGATTTAGAGTCCTCTGAGAACCACAGTCTCCTTCAGCCTCCTGCTCCAGTATTCCTAGGCAAGGGCTTCTCTTTGGCAGGTATGAGATTTCCTTCAAGCAGCACGTGGGAACAGAGGATGTCTTCTTTGGGATGACTGGGAAAGACCCCTCCACTGCCTGCTGTGAAGATATAGTGGTGAGCTGAGCCTGGAGCTCTGGTCCCTTCTCTGTGCTCTTTCTCTGCCTTTCCCACCTCCCCATCTTTCTGAGGGGCAGAATGTAAACACAAAGCTCCACTGCTGCCTGTGATTGACCTCCTGTAGCATTTTCTTGTGGTTCTCCAAGCATTTTTAGGTCACATTTACACTTGCTAACCTGAGGAACTTGGGTATCTCCTCAAGGACCAAGTGTGCTCAAGGCAATCTCTGCAAATGCATATGCCCCATATAAACTTAAAGGGAATAAAATGTAGCTCTGAGATGAAGTTTCATCTTGGACACACTTTTGGAGAAGAGAGGGGCTGGGAAGGAGATTTTTTTTCATCTTCCTGCATTTATTACAAGCATTTTGCTAGTGTGGGCTAGCAAAATGCTACAATGCTGACAGCCTTTAAAGTTCCAGCTATCAGATCCTGCCTCATCATTATATAATCAAAGACCTCCCTGGTTTCTGAGCTCCAGGACAGGTAGAACTGCTGTGTTATCTTTCTAGCAGAAGCAAACTGTCCCTGCAATGCACAAAGCCTGAGGCTTTGCTGAGTGTTGAACACCTGTCAAGCACATTAGCAGCTCAGGAACTGGAAGAGAATAGGATATCAATACACATCACTAAGCTATTGAAAGCAGTCATTATCACTGTCGGATTTGCTCTGATACAAATTACCTACTCAAAACGTTGCTCTTTGATACTAGCATTGAAATATTCATGAAAATGAGCTCTTTTATGGCTTTTAGGGCAACATATGTAATCACAGCTTTACCTCTGCCCATCGTTTCAGATTAAAATCAAGCTGCCAGAGACAAAGTACTCAGACATCGCATTAGACATCCAGGACAAGGTTCTTGACCTTCGAACTCCCAAAAAGTAAGTGCAGCACAATTGATAGAAGTCCAGTTAATATCCTGTTTGAAATGGGGTTTAGCCAAGCTTTAAACTGCAGTCTGTGTGGAAAGCAAAGCTAAAGATTGCACTATTAATAATTGCTTGTGAAAAATAAGTACAGAAAAACCACTCATAGTCCATCCATAGGTGCACAACCTGCTGGCTTTGAATCTGTGATACTGTCCAGTAAAAAGCTTTGGGACACATTTTGGCTACTTAAACAGCAAGTATCAGGGACTCAAAACAGCTGGCAAAAAGCTGCCCAAGGTCTTGAAAGACTTAGTCTAGTATTCCTAAGCACTAATTTGTACAAATACGTATGACCAAAGATGGTAAAAAAAGTGCAGATAAATTTTCAGTAGCTGAAAACCGAATTATGAACATATCCAAGCACAAATGCAGAGATGGAAATGTTACAAGGTTTTCTAAAGAGATTTCCTTTGATTTTTTTAATAGGACTATTTCAAGCCTACAAAGATAACTGATAATACACTCTTGGATTTCTCACTCTTCCTCCATCTCTCCCTCAGTGTGCAATTCCTCTGCCTGAGATTTCCTGATAATTCCCATGTCTGTTTTGCTCAAAGTCCTTCTTCACAAAGACTGCTTTTATAAGAAACCTTAATCCTCTCTGGGCTGACTTGCTGCACTGAATGGGGTGTGGGAAGATTTATATGAGAACAGCTTTCTGCAGATAAATTCCAGGTGCAGGCCATGGATTAAGGCCTAAATAAGTCCCCAGCAGACTAAATACAGAAAAGCCATTTTTCTCTGCCAAAAACCAGGCAAAATCAGTTACCCTGTGTTTGATTTTAACCCAAGGATGCAACAGGAGTGGAAGAAGGTTTGGGAATGTTAGTTTTGAAACTGTAAAATTGGAAGGAATAATTGCTGAGCTAATGACTTGCTGAACCTTTGGGCAGTAAAAGAAGTAGCTTAATGCAATGCTGCAGATGTAGAAAACCTCAGCATCCTTTTCCTTTTGCAATTCTATTTTTTTGGTGACTCAGATCTGCCATTATCTTCTCAGTACCCAGCTGTCTCTAGTCACAAGCCTAGCAAATAAAAAGTTCACCATAAATCTGATGGTTGCTTGGGTACAGCCTGAACCAGTGCTGCTTTCACAAATATAAGTGCAAGTCTTCTCAGTATGAAGGAAACAATCAAGATGTCAAGTTCTAGATGCTGAAAAACTTTGTTCTCCCACAGATGGGTAAAAAGATTCCAAGCAACTGCTTCCAGCTCTGTAGTTCTGGGGCCGCTTCTAAGCCAGGCTGCTTTTAAGTGACAGAAATATTTCAATATTTCTATCAATATCCAGTCTTGCTGTGCATGAGGTGTTGCAGGAACCCCACCACCCATCACAACAAGGGGATCTATTGGGATAACATTCCCTGGCATACTGACTGAGGAATTGCAGGAGTAATTTGCAATGATACCTCAACTGCTCACTCTGAGACACTGACATCCCCTGTGTCCTCTTTTACAGCAAGCTGCTGCTGCACCTCCCCTACCCTGTGAACAGCAAGGAGGGCAGAGCTCGTTTTCTCTCTGAGGAGGAGATCTTGGAAGTCACCTTGAGACTATCAAGGAAGTTGGATTTCATCAATTTTTCTGATGGGTAGAAAGATACAGAAAGTTTGCAAAAACTAAATGTTCTAGTTTGAAGGCTTTTGGAAACCCAACTTGTTCTGAAATAGTAAATGGCTTCCCTTGAGCAGTCCAGGGGAAAGTCTCTGGAGAAATGAGTCAGGAGGAGCACAGCACCCACAGGTTCTAGCAGCTGATGCTGTCTGACCCTTCAACTGCTCTGGTTCACTTTCTGCTTCCTGCAGTCTGGAGCAGCCCCTGTGAGTCAGAAAGTGGGAGATTTCAGTTCAAAAGCCACAGGAAGCCTTTTGTGTGGTCATGGCTGAGGTAGCCCAGTGAGGCTCTGGGCAATGTCTGCTGCTTTGGTACCATTTCAAGCCTTGCAAGTGCTACTGTCCTTGCTTGGTCTCCAATGCTGGGACTGGGGCCAGTTCAGAATCTTCTCTTGCCTATTTCTTGGTGAGAAGATCATTCTGCAGGGATCCATATCCACACCTGAGGCTCCTTTACACTGGAAGAACAAGTTAACCAGCTACAGTTGGGTTGCTGAACATCTCAGCTCTTTTGAACAGGTTTTTGACAATTTATGGTTCAGTGTTGTCTAGTCATCTGCTGTCCTTCCACCTATTTTTCTGATCTTTCTTGATTAATAAAATAATAGGTTCTAAGGAACAGTTCCAGTTATCTTTGAGTCTGCCTTCTCTATATTATGCTCTGAGAGACCTCATAAAAGTTGAGATAAGAGGAATTTTGCATAACAAAGCTTCTCTCAAAGGGCTGAAATGCTGCAAAATGTTCTTTGGCCTTCAGGTCCAATCTGGAGATAGAGAGTTGGGTAACCAGGCTGTTTCTCTCAGTAGCTGCTGGGCAAATATATTAATTTAACATTGTTGGTCCTGCAGGAAGCAAAGGTACTTGCTCAATGATCAAAGTGGAGAGGACAAGCAGGCCCTGGCATGTTAATGGCACACTTAACCAAAAGCCTGTGAGTACTTTCAGAGTCAAATGGCTTTGAGTCCTGCATTCTTCTGGGGGTAAAAGTAGAGGAAAATAATTGACCAGCTAGGCTGCAGACAGCACCCATGCAGCTAAACTTGAGGCAGGCTGTAATGAGAAGATGGATGCTCCATGATGGACTGCAGACACTGACAGTGAGTTTAAAGGTGCAGTCACTGTATGTTAGTAATCCCCTGCATTATAACTCCAGGACAAATTAGGCTGATGTCTGGACATTTCAACCCCTTCCCTGAAAAGTGAACCATTGCTTGGGTCAGAATAATCCTAATCAACTTCTGCTTTAGCCTTAATGCACTGGAAAGCAGATATTTCATTTATGATTCATCACAAGCTATGAAATATGCTGATAACACTCAGGGGCTACTCCAATTGGTATCTGCTTAAGGTTCCATAAATTAGATCTGAGTGTCTCTTATTCCAAAGCTGTGGTTGAGCAGGACAATGTGGATGTATGAGAAAAGGCTGACATCATTCCTCCTGACTCAGTTTTTCCCTCCTGTACTTGCCAAACAAGCTGTTTCTTGGAAAAAGGTTGTCTTTGTGGTCCCTAGACAATATGCTGCTTCATTTTTGCATTTCTTATACACATTACAAGAAAAGTGGAAGATTGACCAGTATTGATGTGCATGTGAAGGTAACATTTGTCCAAATTAATTCAGAATATCCATGGCAGGGTGCAACTCTTCTGAGCCCTACTCCAGTGCTCTATCCACAAGGTTATATTGCCTTTATAATTGGCAGTAGTAATTTACTAAGCCTTAAATCATCAAGCTCTGCTTAATTTAATGTCAGTGTTTGATACTGAAAATAGTGATGAGTCTGGCTCATTGTGCCTCCCTCCAGTGTTAGTTTCTTATGGAAATGAGCATATGCCACACTGGTATCCATACCATAATTTATCTCCAAATGTTTTTTAACCTGAGGGCATTTTATCAGCATTCAGGAGACAAAAACCTGAGGTAAGTATGTTCTGTAAGAAATAGAAAAGGGAAATACAAATTTGTACTGCTTAAGAGAGAGGTTATAATGTGATTTCTTGTACCTGCTGGGCACTCTCTCTGTGCATCCCCCTCCAGGCTCCTGTAGGTCACCCATGATGGGGAGCTGGTGACACTGTAGGAAAAGGGTGATATCCTGGCAGGGGGAGGCTGAAATCACAGAGTGAGGATAGAGGAACACAGGGGACAATTCATAACCAGGCTTTGTGTGTTCCACTCAGGAAAGCTCTGCTGCCCTTTTCACTGGAGCAGGGACACTGCTCTGGGGGTGGGCAGTTTGCTGGGCTGCTTGGATCCCCTGCCTGAAAGCATCAGCATCACCTGGAGAGCCTCTCACATCCTCACTTCCTTCCTATCAAGGACACAGAGGCTGCCCTAGGCAAAAGTTTGAGTTTTGGGGTTTGGATTTTTCCATATCTCCTCCCAAAACGACTTGCAGGTTGTCAGAATTCCCAGAAATCTGGAGGCTACTGCCAGCTACAAGGGCTGACTTTTTTGCATGGGTTTGAGGGCAGCTTTGCTTTGCTGAAGTAGCACTGGCAGAAATCCTCCAGGAGGGGAACCCCCTTTGCCTCTGAACATCAACACTGATGTGGAAGTGCCTCTCCAACACCTGCAAGCATCTTAATTAATCAAAATTATGAGCCCAGTTAAACAACCCAGCCATTAAGCCCCAGCCATTAAGCATCATCAAGCTTTATTTGGTTCCCATAAGAAGCAGCTTGATTAAATGTATTGCAGTTAAGTGGAGGGTACTGCAGATGTGGAACTGAGATAGAGGCTTGTTTGCAGCAGCATCCCAATAAACTGCAGGTTCTCATCTCACCTTGTTCACACAGTCTGTCCTCCAGTTGTGGTTGCAGAGCCACCATCCCCATTTTGACTTGTTCCTGCCATCTCTCAGAATGATGGTGGTGTGCTAAAATACACAGCCCAACTCACTGTCTGAATTTCACCTCTCTTCATATTCCCCTTTGTCCACTTACTGCCCTGGGGCCAAGACACTTGCCTTATTCTATTGCTGGAGGAAGAGAAAACCCAGATGAGTTGCTCCATATAAACACCTGAGACAGCACAAGAACTTAAATTTAGATTCTTCCCTTAAACCTGCAGGCTCTCATTCTCATCTTCCTCCAGGTCTGCTGTTCATCATATACCCCTTCTGTTTGTCTTAAAAGACTGCTTCATTTTTCTGCTGTTCAGATTGAAGTTTGTACCCAAACTCTGTGTACTTCTTGCACTGTGTGAAACACTGCTTTATCAGTTTATCCTTCCCTCCAGACCGAGTTTATCTAAAATGACTGAGCTGTACCTACGTGTACAGACACATCTGTCTCCCTCCTGCTGCAGCAGCTCCTTTTCAACCTGCCACTGTTGCTGTGGACTTTCACCCTCTGCTCTGCAGCACCTGCAGCTTGGATTGCTCCTTGTTCCCTGGGATCCCCTTCAGGAGCTGCTGCCACAGACAGAGGCATTGTCTGCCTGTGGTCCAGGCTCCAGGGAAGGTGCCTGGAATATGCTGGGGGCTGGTTTGTTTTTTTCCTGTGATCTTCACAAACAGGAGATGATTTTTCTCTTGGTGTCTGTCTTGGTGTCTCTTCATTCTGTTTTCTCCTTCGGGCAAAATTCACTTTCAGGTTGTGATGAATTCATCAGAGGATGCTGAGCAGCATCTCTGTTTTTCCCTTCCCATCACGATTGTTTGTTCTGTGCTCTTTTCAGGAGACTCTGATCTCTCCTCTCCTTTCCTAAGTGCTTTATCTCCCCTGATTGTTCTCACATTAGGACATTTCTCACCAGAGCCTCCTGGCAGATTGCAGTTGGCATATCTGACCCTTGCTGGATGTTCCTAATGTGGGTGAAGGGTGTGATTCATTTCCCCTCACTCAGATCAGAGCTGGGTGAAGGGCTCTGTCCTCCCTTGATGTGTGTCCTGTCTGAAGGGGACACAAGCAGCAGCAGCACCACAGCAGAACCTGGAGGGTGTTAAGGCACTGCTAGTGAAGGACCATGGCACAAAAGCAGGAGATGCTGCAGGCTGTGAGGAGTGTTGACAGAATTGAGAAACCTCTTGAGCACTTGCTTCAAAGGTAGCCACACATCCCCAGTGAGTCTGCTTATAAAGAAATGCACCAATTCAGAAAAAGTCAGAATCATTCAGAATTTCAGCCTTCCCCAAGGCCTGAAAAGTTTCTCTCTGCTTCCTGATGTGTGTCCCCACATCCCAGGTGAATGCTTAAAGAAGGTTTTGAAATCTACTCCAGGGCAACAGTGACACAGGCAACAGAGGAATGCCTTTGGTTCTGGAGTACTTCTCTCAATCCATGGGAATCTTTGATCATTTGGGGCTTTCTCATCTCAAGGCCTCCCTTTCATCTTTTTTCTCTGCCTCCACACACTCATTTCTGAAGAGAAGATCATAGGAAGCTGCCAGAATGACAGCAGCTACTGTCCACCTCCAGTCCTTAGAGACCATCTCTCTTTAATTGGGTGTCTCCTTTGTGCAGCTCAGCAGCCTGGAAACTCACTTCTGATGCTGATCAATATTTTTTTTTAACCATGCCATTTTAACTTGATGGTATCACAACCCAGCAAACACTTCCAAGAGTGCTATGTGGTATTTACTGAAACAATTCTCTGATTCTATTTGGCAACCTGTCTCCTGCAGCTGCTGAGCAGAGAGAAAAAGAGCCACACACCTCTTCTGGAAAACTCTTGTCATGTCAGAAAGCTGTGTAAAGAGGAACAGGATGGGAATGGAGATGGACACAGCTGATTTTGTTAACTCATCAGGTGATGTGGGCAAGGCAGACATTTGCCAAACAGGGACAGATTAGGAAATGTAAGCACCAATACTTGAGTTAAATACTGTGAGCTCTGGGTGGGTTCCACCCCTCACAGGAGCCCAGGTAATGAGAGTTTAACACCCCTGGCATTTCTGTGACTGGGATCTCCTGACCCAGATTCCTGTACTTATGTCCCCAAAGCTGCTCTTGGGGGGCACTGGGGCAAGCTGACAAATATATAGAGGAGGATGAGGGATTGACTTCATCTGGGATAGTCAGCCATACCTTTCTCACCTGAGCTGAGCCCTAGGGAGCCAGAGGATTCCATCCAGGATGAGGTAAATGGAGAGGAGCAGCACTGTGAGAAACTGGATGAGCCTTAAACTGTGTTTAGGGCAAACTAAATGGTGGGTGTGGATTGAGATGCTGAAAGTGAGGGAGTGATGT